GAGCCTCTTTTAGAAACCCCGACTGCGCTCTTATAAGCGGACTCGACTGTAATAGAAATCAAAATGGAAGGTGAATAAATGATAAAAACAACGTTTTAATGAAATTCATTTTTTCACTAATCCATGAGGGGGACCCCAGCTAAAAATATGACCAAAAAAAAAAAGTCGAAAGAAAAATTTGGAATACATATCATTCGACTCAGATTTTTGAGCCGATTACGAATATGGCATATTTTTGGGTACAAAGTCGGACTATTCTAAGCGAAAACCGTCGACAATAGATCAAAAACGCTAAAAATCATGGGGGTGAAACCAGTAGCCTTAAGAATTATCCTATGGGCCCACGTTTTTAAATCCTGAAAAATAGCTGGTTTTATAGTGTTTTTAAATCTCTATCGAACAGAAAGTGAACAAAGTTTGGTGGCAGTTTCATTGATGCAATAATCGAGTGACAAATGTTATATGCATGCATAATATAAGGTCAAAATTCTCTAAGGTAAGATATGCATCCAATCTCTTAAAACCAAAAAGGTTGTTTCAAATGAGCGGTTCTATTATCAAATTGTAGCCTAGACAACGGCTTATCAGAATAACTTGTAAACAGAATCCAACTCAATTCGTTTTGTTTCAAACGATCGCTCACACTGTTGACCAGGATTACTGGTGAAACGCCCATTTCGCATGTACTAAAGCTAGATTCGGTTTACACTTATAACTCATTCAAAACATCTCAGATTTGGCATCAAAATGATCGTGAGTTCATGCTCTTTCATTCTATATATGATTTAATTAGGTTTGGACGTAATAATCAAAGGGGCCAAAATGCGGTCTTATGCGCCCCCGTCCTTTAAATCGTCGTCATTTGGGTGATTATTTTGATGAACGTATTCAACAACGACATCAAAGTTTTGTTGTTACTGCTGATAATCGTTATATAATATCAACTGGTTATTGGGATAAAAGTTTTCGTGTACAAAGTACTGATATAGCGAAAATTTCACAAGTACTCTATGGTCATTTTGATATTGTTACATGTGTATGTCGTTCAGAAGTAACTATTGCTGGAAATTGTTTTCTTGCAACTGGTTCACGTGATTGTACAGTTTGTATTTGGATATGGAATGGTACAAAAGGTGCAATAGTTGATCGTGAATATCCAAATCAAGGTTATAATTAAATTTAAAAAAAAATCAATATATCATAACTAGCGAGAGCCCGTGCATACACTGCACGGCTGTTTTCTCTTTTCACGTATAACTTAAGACGTTTAACTTTTCATTCAGGAATAGACATACAGACATTCGATATTATGTATGAAGATAGATAGCCCTACGGTCTCATACTCTTATATCGTACGTATTTTTATAGTCCATGTAGCCTTCGGTCTTATAGCTTTGTATTCCTTGTAGCTATTGTAGCCTTATCCCCTTGAGAACCTATGGCTATTCCCATATTATAGCTCTTCATGTCCTATAGATATACCATATAATAGCCCTTGAGGACCTATGGATTTCTCTATATAATAGCCCTTAAGGCCTTCCGCTTATAGGACTATGTGACTTTTAACCTTTAACCTTGGACCTGGGCACAGAGACGTCAGACAGATACTGAACAATATATATATATATAGAGATTTTTTTTTGTTTTTATATAGAAATCAATCCATCACCAGCAGCAATTTTAACTGGTCATGATAGAGAAATCACATGTTTATGGATATCAGCTGAACTTGGTATTGTTTTAAGTGGTAGTGAACAAAGTCTTGTACTTCAACATACACTTAATGGTGATATATTACGTTCATTTGAAAATCCATCAAAAATATCTACACCACGTCTATTATCACCATCAAATGATGGTGATATTATTGTTTTTTATGATCGTTCAAAATTATGTTTATATACATTAAATGGAAAATTAATGAGACAAGCAATATTTGAAGATGAAACTATTCAAGTAAAATCAAAACAAAAAAAAACAGACAAAAATAATTATTTTTTGTTTTGTTTTATTTTTGTCTAGTGTATGGTTTTAAATATTGATAGTCAATATACAGTTATTGGTGGTGATCGAGGTTTTGTAGAAATCATTCGAACACATGATTTAGAACCTGTTTATGCTTATCCACAATGTGATGCTAGTATTCGTTCATTAGCAATAACTCATGATCAAAAGTAAAAACAAATATATATATTTCTTTGTTTAATTTAGATATATCATGGTAGGTCTTTCTACAGGTTGTTTGATTGTATTTAATGTTAATTTTAATGTTCTTAATCAACCTCGACGTGATTCTGGAACGCCTACTGCAAATGTTTAATAAAAAATGTTTTCTGTTTGTTTTTGTTTTTCGTAGTGTAATTGTTTCTTTGACTATTAATATTTTAACACATTTTTTTTCCTCTGCGCTTTCATTTGAGGCTTTTTTTTTTCTTATAGACATTCCAAATTCCTTGCGTTTATATGGTTCTTTATAAAAGAAAAGATCCATGGTTTCATTTTTGTTTTGAATAGGTGAGAACGGCTGCTACATCAAGTAGTATTTTTTGTTTTTGTTTTTGTGTTTGATTTGTTGGGTGGGAAATAAGAAAGCCCCAGTGATATTCATTTTGTTGTTGGTGTTTATCGTATTTATTTATTTGTCTGTGCATTTTTATTTTTACTTATGCTTATAAACGGAGTTCACCGCATTCATTTTTTTGTTCTTATGTTTCTTAAGCTTCAAAAAAAAAAAATAAAGCAATTCAATAACTATTCATATACTTCGCACATAAAATAAAGAATTATTTGCAATAATCAAATAGTTATCTGTATAATTGGTTTTAGATTATTCTGATAAATTGACAAGTTAAAGAATGACAGCAGCAACTGGTAAATGAATTTATAAATAGTAAATTATTGAAAAACTTTGTATCTACAAAGAAGTAATCAACCAATCCTTTTACCGCAGCAGATCTTCCCCTAACCGAGAACTCGGCTTTTGATTTAAGAGTTATGAGATACGTTATATTAGCAAGTGTTTTTGTATAGAACAGAAGGTGAGATTGTTCCTTACAAAATTATATCAGAATAAAAAGTTTGAGAACCAATTTGCAGATCTCGACAAGATCATTTCATAACTCTTAAATAATGTTGTTAAATTACTTTTTAATAACTCCAATGATAAATTCAAAGAAGAATCTATAAAATATATGCTTCTATAAAGGTGACCAAAAGAAACAATACGTGCTTGTACCTGGTGGTGCTGGTTTTATTGGTAGTCATTGTGTTATTGAATTGATTACAGCTGGTTATACACCAATTGTAGTAGATAATGAACATAATTCATCAGTAGGTGAAATTAAAAAAATATTCTAAAAAAGAAAATTTGATTCTATTTAGAAAAAAATTCTTTTTTTTAGAATGTTTAAAACGTGTTGAACAAATTACTGGATGTCAAATAATTAATTATAAAATTGATTGTCTTGATATTGAAAATTTACGAAATATTTTTAAAAAATATTTAATTTATGCAATAATTAATTGTGCTACACTTAAATCAGTTGGTGAATCAGTACAAAAACCAATTTTACATTATAAAAATAATATTGGTTGTTTACTTAATTTACTTACAGTAATTGTTTTTTAATTATTAAATAAAAATATATTTATTTGAATATTATTTAGTGTATGGAAGAATTTAATGTTAAAAATTTTCTTTTTTCATCATCAGCTACTGTCTATGGTACACCGAAATATTTACCATTTGATGAAAAACATCCATGTATTGGTGATGCTATTACTAATCCATATGGTAAAAGTATTCTTAAAGATACAATAGTTGCTCATCCAGTTCGTATTTTAAAATTAAAATAATCTTTTTTTTATTCTTGTTAATTTATTTAGGAATGGAATATCATTATTTTACGTTATTTTAATCCTGTTGGTGCTCATAAAACAGGTTTAATTGGTGAAGATCCTATTGGTAAACCAAATAATCTTATGCCATATATTGCACAAGTAGCTGTTGATCGTTTACTATATGTTAATATTTTTGGTACTGATTATGATACTTCAGATGGTACAGGTAAACATAAGCAAATAAATATAATTTATCTTCTTATCATTAAAAAAACTATTGAATTTGTATAGGTGTTCGAGATTATATACATGTTGTTGATGTAGCTATAGGTCATATTGCAGCAATGAAACAATTTGAAATGAATTTGTGGTTTAAAAGTTAATAATAGATAATGATTTTAATTTCTTTTTCTTATTTAGATTTATAATCTTGGTACTGGTAAAGGTTATTCTGTATTAGAAATGATTAAAGCATTAGAAAAAGCATCAGGTAAAATAATATCTTATAAAGAATGTTCTCGACGTCCAGGTGATCTTGCAACTGTTTATGCTGATTCAACATTAGCAGCTCAAGAACTTGGATGGACAGCTCAACGAAATTTAGATGAAATGTGTAAATAAGTTTTTATTTTTAAGTACAGATTTAAAATTATATTTTTCTTTTATAGGCGAAGATTTATGGCGTTGGCAA